GGTGACTTGATGACAGGTTACTGGCCTCTATGCAGTTATTTCTTGTGAAGTATACCTTGCACCATCTCTTCAGTCACGTGTTGATCTGATATATCCTATTTCTACTCTGACTAGCACACGACACTGGTAGTAATCCTGAGATGACTACCTTTGAAGTCCTACTTTTCAACTTACTTCCTAACTCTCTAAATGCTGCTTTTCGAACCTTATCCCTTTTTCATTTTCACCTTTGCTACCAACAACAATGTGTTTTACCTCTGTCATTTGTACCAATAACGACATTAAACTTGATTTTTACTGAACCAAGGCAAGGGTTCAGAAACATGTAATTAAAGCTTTTTTCAATTAGCAGAGGAGTTTTGGCTATGTGGTCGACCCAATATGGAATCAGTTTCAATTTAACAACTGGTTTCTGTTCCTCTGGCCAGTGGTGCACTGTTTACCTTAAGAGATACACAGTGTGATGAGCATCAAAGTATAAAAGACGTTATACTTCTATGTGCCCAGTCACAGAAACATAGAAACTAGGAGCAGGAATAGGCCATTCGGCCCTTCGAGCTTGCTCCACCATTCCGTTTGATCATGGATGTTCCTCTATCTCTTTACGATATTCCTGCTTTTCCCGATTCTGCTTGATGCCTTTAAAATCTAAAATTGTATCTATCTCTTCCTTGAATATATTCAGTGGTTTGGCCTCCACAGCCTTCTATGGTAGAGAATTCCACAGGTTCACTACCTTCTGAGAGGAGAAATGTTACCTCAGAGACCAAAATAGAAATGACTGGAAAAGCTCAGCAGGTGTGGCAGCATCTGTGGAGAGAAATCAGAATTAACACTTTGGGTTGAGTGAGTGTGACCTTTCACTTGATGTGAAACATTAACTCTGATTTATCTCCACAGATGCTGCCAGAATTGCTGAGGTCTTCCAGCAATTTCTATTTTGGTCTCTGATTTACAACATCTGCAGTTCTTTTGGTTTTTAAATGTTCCTTCATCTCAGTCCTAAATGGACTAACCTGTACCCTGAGACTGTGACCCTGATTCTAGATTGCCCCAACCAGGGGAACTTCCTCTTGCGCATCTTGTCTGTTCATCTCTGTTAGAATTTTGTACTCAGAGTGAGAGCAGGGTGAGGCCAGCAGGAAGATCAATGAGAGGTAGCAGCACAGTGAGAGCACGGTGAGGCCAGCAGGAAGATCAATGAAAGGTAGCAGCACAGAGTGGGAGCAGGGTGAGGCCAGCAGGAAGATCAATGAAAGGTAGCAGCACAGTGAGAGCACGGTGAAGCCAGCAGGAAGATCAATGAAAGGTAGCAGCACAGTGAGAGCAGAAACAGCCCAGCGGGATGATAAAACAAAGGCAGAAGCTCAGGTAGAGCAAGGGTCAGTGCTAGGACCTTGGGTCTTTATGCAGGTCTTGAATATTGAATTGCAGAGTAACATTTCAAACTTTTCCACTGATAACAAACACAGAGTTGTGGCAGACAGTGAGGATACTACCAATCGAAAGGAACAATATATAGTCTAGCAGAATGGGTGGGTAAATGACAGCTGAATTTTCAGACAGAGAAGAGAAAGGTGATGTATTTTGGCAGAAGGCGTAAGGAGAAGCAATACAGACTTAATGGCACAGTTCTAAAGATTGTGCAGGGGCAGAGGGACCTACAGTCTGTTGGAAATTGGGGTCCCTTACGAACTCAATTTTCTTCGTATTTACTGAATAGCATAAGCCCTTTCATTTCACAGCTTTTATAGCATTGACTAACTTTTCAAAAGTCTAGCATAGGAAAACAAAAGGGAAGTATTGAGATGCACTGCAGTTACCATGCCCATTGAAGTAGTGTCAAAAATGGATCTGGTGCCAAGTGTACCCTAATTTCAATGTGCTGTTTATGAAAAGACATTGGATTTGTTCTTAGAAAGAATAGTAAACTAACCCTCAGATGAAGGTGGGCGAAGGGACAATGGTCATTTCTGGTGTCATGAGCAGCTGCCTATGGTAATTGGTCTAAAGGATTCAGACAACTGATCGACATTGAGTGAATAACCCACCCCTGGACATCAGATATTTCATTAAGTGCTTGGGGCAGAAGGGAGTCCTCATCGGGTGGTCTCTACAGGAAGCAGTCCCCATTGAGCAGTTCTCATCAGGTGGGCCTCTTAGGCAAGAATCCTTATCAAGCAGTTAGTGTGTGATGCTCAGAGTTGTCTTCTCCAGATCAAAGATGGACCAGAAGGAAGGAGAAGGAAGACCAGGGAAGAGAGAAGATGCTGCCTCCACAACTTTAACAAGACTAATACATTCCACACCAACAGCCTGTTTGTTCTATGGTATCAGTGAACTGTTCCCAATTGTCACAGTTTTATGCTTTATTTACCGAATTAACTAATGTATCACATCTAAACTGCCGTTCTTAACAAAGTAGCTAAATTATTACAGAATTGCTACAAATCGATGATTGTCTAAATTAACTGTAATTGCAAACTTCCTAAATTCAACAGGTGCGTGTGCATCAATCTTTGGAGATGGCAGCCGAAACGGAGAGGGTGGTTAGAAAAACATATGGGACTTTGGGCTCTGTTATTGCTCAACTCATGCTGAACTCCTTTAAAGTCTGGCAACATCTTCTTTCTTGGTAAAGGACAGGTGCAAAATACTCATTTAACCTCTTAACCATGCCTTCTGTTCCCATGAGGAAATCCCTTTTAGTCAATACTGGCTGCATACCTTCGGATTCCTTTTTATTTTAGCTGCTAGTTTCTTTTCATACTACTTTGTTGCATCTTATTTACATTTTCACCTGCCTTTTCTATTTTCAGCCAGGTTCTCACTTTGTATTATCAATCTAACATCAATCATATGCACTCATTTTGTGCTACATTCTACTCTCCTTCTTTCGTTTCATCCATGGAGCTCTAGTTTTGCTTGCCCTACCTTTCCTCCTTGTGGGAATGCACTTTGACCATCAGAACAGTCTGTTTATTAACAGCAGCTCATTGCTCACTTACAAGTTTTGCCTGTAAATTTTTGATTCCATTTTTCACAATGCTCCTCCTCTGACTTATTAAGCAGCTTTTATCCTTTTCCATAGCCAACTTAAACCTTGCTTCACTGTGATAATGGCTCACTCAACGTCTCATAACACTGATACATAGCTCATCTCAATTCCCAAAAACAGTTCCTGCAAAGATTCCATCCTTGCTAGGTCAGGAAGGTATTGATCTAGGAAATTCTTCAGAACATATTTGAGAAAACTCTTTATCCTCTCTGTCCTAATTTTAAAATATTTGAAGACCCCAATTTTAACCCTCTGTAGTTTTCGTCATGTCTGTGTAATTTCTCTATAGAATATATGCAGTGGAATACATCCAGTCATGTAATATTATCTCTGTTCTTTCTTAGCTCTAACCAAATAGATTCTATCCTTGAGTCTTCCAAGACATCCTCACTCTCTCCCTAACACTGTAATATCCTCCTTAAGACTACTGCTACTCCTCTTCCTCCTCTATTTCCTTTCCTATATTTCCAGAACCCCTTGCCTCCAGGAATATTTTGTATCCATTCCTGCTCTTGAGCCAGGTTTCAGTTACTGCAACATCATTGGTTTCTCATGTGGCTATTGGTGCCGGCAGCTCATTACCTTTATTTACCATGCACTATGTATTTCCATGCATTCACTGTATACCTAAACTAGAACTCGCTGCTTTACGTTTTAGTCTGACCCCACCTAATACCTGATTTTCTTTTTTTCACTTGGATCTGTCTCTCCCAATCCTTTGTGAATCTTATTTACCCTTCCTAATGTTATATCCTGGTTCCTATTCCGTCAAATTAGTTTAAACGCTCTTGTACAGAACTAGCAAACTATTCCACAAGGACCGTCTTTGGACTGTCAAAATGCAATCAATCTGGTCTGTGTAGGTCTCTGTCCCAGAATAGATCTCAATGTCCCACAAATCTAAACCCCTAATGGTAAAAAGATGTGCAACTACCTCTTAGTGTAGTACTGGACAGAAGGCTTCAGGCTAAAGTTGAACTCTGTATGCACAATTTCTGATTTCAGTGTAGGTCCTACCTTGATTTGAGACCGTGGGTTAGAGGTGTGACAATAAAAAAAGCTCAGCTATATCTGATCACTATAAAGTAATTTATGATGCAAAGTACATGCTTAGCAATAGTGAGTGAAGACAACATCAATCTCGCCTACTTCACCAGTGTAGCTGCATCCCAACCCAGCCATGGTAACAAAGCCTGGAAACATATGATCAAGCTTTTCATGCACTAAATGTCTGCAGTGCATATGAAACCAAACACGAGAATCGGAAAAGAAAACAGGAAAAAGAAAAATATACCAAACTGGTCTAATTTATGCATTCAAACTTCCTATAATAGGGCACATCCATACAAACGCTTGTTCTTAAATTTTTGCTCATGTTATGCAAGTTACTTCACTACAAGTTGTACTGTTGTCTTTGCAAGATATTTTGATTCCTCAATAGAACAATGAAAGCATTCGCATGGAGCTGATCAGCTGTCATTGTTGTGTCAAATAGAACCCATGACCAAAAATGAAAAGCTGCCATCAGCAGTGGCTGAGGAGATTTGAGCAGATCTTTTCATTCGACTGCTGATTAAAACACCCCAATATCAAAATAATGTGAAATTGAAATCAAGCAGCTCAAAACAACATATAGTCAAGGTCACAGATTTGAATATATTTTGGCACATGGGGGAAAGAAAAAGTAAAATTCTAACAACTATTGGACATTTCCTTGGATCATATACAGAAACGCATTTTACTCCTGGAACGTTTTGGTTATATAAAGACAGTAAAAAGATTTGGATAAAATATGATAATAAGCAAACTCCACTGTACGAAATGTTTTATAATGTTTTGATCCTCAATTCACATCTAACTTTGCAGCCCTCAGCTTCTGCACCAACACAGCCAAATAATCAAGTGCAATTTTAAGGAGAAGAGACCATGAATGCTGACTCACCTGTGTTATCATGTGATTGGTCATTGGTTGTTGCTGAGGTGTGGGTGGCAGTTGCTGCTGTTGTGCAGAATTCGACAGGACGGTCCTCCCAGGTTGCTGCGCAGAGGCTTGCACATAACTTGATGACGTTAATTCAGGTGTCCCGAGAGGCAAGCCTAGAACAGGAGTCCCAATTCTTACAACATAGAAGGAGTAATCTTATGAAGCTCTACTTGACAGCTGTACAAACATATGTACACTGCCAAAACAAGCAGAATTTACTTAATTACATTGTTCAATTCTTGCAGGCCACACAAGCTCAGTTCATACCACAACAAAAAGAAAATGATGCAGACTCTGTGTGTGACACAAACATCCTAACAAAGTATTTCAAAAAACATCATGATATAATGGAAATACATGAATTTCCAATAGACTAAAAATTCAGTTCCTTAAAGATTTGGATCGGATTTCAACTTTTTCTCAATTTATTCTGTTCCCTCTGTGTGAAATATACATAGGAATTCACATACTCAGATTGCACAATTTGTGCCTCAATTCAACATCTGAACAAACGTTTGCTGATAAGTGGATGGAGACAAGTGGTAGGAAATCCCACAAGAAATTCAGATTTAAAAGGAAACAATAGTTGTAGCAGGAATTTTGTTTCAACCCTGAAATAAAGGCTACAAAACAAATGTGGTTTATATTTTTGCCTCCTTGTGAGGACACTGCACACGCCTTGAAAGTTGCAGTCCAAAATGGAAAGGCTCCAGTGACACAGGTGATGGGATCAATAGTTGCTACTTTGTCCTTTAAGAGCACAACATCCTTCTAGCGCATAAACAAGTTGTCAGAGCTGCGAGTACAGTTGCTTACCATCCTGAAATATCAGGTCACTGGTTTTATGGGTGCCTGGGTGAAGTGTGAAATGAGCATCTACAAACATTTTACAATTCATATGCATGAATATAGCACAAAAGGAGTGACAGTATAACAGGCTGCAATCTAAGTGAGGCAACGTTTTGCAGCAGAGTCACAGGGCACAGTTTGTTCCTATGTTTCCTCATGATGAGTTATCAATTTTAGTCAACTTAGTAGACAGACAAGACATGACAGATGAATACTACTCCATGAGGATGGAAAGAAAATGCTGGAAATGCTTAGCAGGTCAAGCATTAGACAAACAAAGAGAACATTTCAGGTCAGTGACTGATGATGTGATAGGCTACTTAAAACTGTGATGAGGGGTAACTTCTTCACTCAACAGATGGAAAATTCTCTTCCCCAGAGGACTGTGGAAGCTCAGTCATTGAGCAGGTTTTAAAGAGAAACCAATAGATATCTGGAGACAAACTACATCAAGGAATTATGGGAATAGCACTGGAAAGTGGTGTTGTAGTAAATGATCAGCCATGATCTAACTGAATGGAAAAGCAGGCTTAAGGGGCTGAATGACCTAGTCCTGCTCCTATCTTGATGTTAACTCTGTTTCTCCCACCACAGATACTGCCTGACCTGCTGAGCATTTCCAGCGTTTCACTTTTGATTTGCAACTTCCAGCATCGGGAGTGTTTTGCTTTTGGAAAGGAAATGGGATGGCTGCTCCAGTGTTTGAACACAACTTGTGGCAGTCAGTGCAAGAAGGGCATTGGATGAGTCCAGAGAATCAAATTACTTGGGCAGGGATGACATGTCAAAATGAAAAACTGAGGAGGAGAGAAACATACCTTCGGCCTCAGCAAGAAGAACATTGAAATCAACTGATTATTTATGAAAGAGCAGGACAGAAAACAACTCCGAAATGAAGCATCAACATGCACACCTGTTTTGGAGACCCTGTTTCCACTCTTACTACTGCCAATGCTATCCCCTCGTGTCAGGATGGAAATTCCACTGAAGCTGCTTGCTTTAGTTACAGGTGGCTTCAGACTGCGGTTGGAGCTGTCAGAGTCCGTGCTACTCCATGGCCGAGGCTCAGAGGTCTTCAGTTCATTCTCAGTGCTGCTTTGACGGCTGCTAGAAGCTCTACTTAGGCACTCTCGGTTTCCTCTGCAACAATGGAGACATGAATCAGTGACCTGCTGAAAAGACCTCACTGCAGCGAAGTACTCTGATTTCTGCATTATTCCATGAGGATTCATCTTTGCTTCGATGCAAGTGTTTCCTGCTTATCAGAATTATAAGCCCTTTGTTTCTTGTTCACTTTAAACATCAAAAAGCCTGTAAAGTATTGCACAAACTTTGCCACAATGATATGGTTGGTGGTGCTTTTCAAGTCTTCATGCCCAGCATTTTCACAAACGCAACAAACGAACAAAAATACCAACACATCAAACATGAAAAGTGCTTCTTTAGACCCATCTATCTATTCTAGGAAAACTCCACAAAAGGAGCTGAATCCAAGAAGTGACAGGAATTGGGAGACAGACAACATTGTATAAATTTAGCACCTCATTGCCCTGTGTAACATATCTTGCGAATAATAATAAATTGCCTCACTTTAAAACCAAGCTGTCATAATAAATGATCAACACTGCTACAAATATGAATACTTGGTAAAGGGGCTAACAGACCTCAAAAGTGCAAAATTGTCAGTGCACATATTCAATAAAAGCTGCATTTATGTAATGCCTTTACCATCATAAAACATCCTTAGGCATCTTATAGGAGCATGACCAAATAAAATTTGACATCAGCTAGATAAGGGGATAATTAGGACCAAAACCACAGTCAATTGGTCAGATATAAGAAGCTTTGTAAAGTAGAAGAAAAGAGAAGCAGAGACGATCAGGCAGGGAATTTAGAGCTTAGGGCCTTGACAGGTGAAGACACGGCTGCCAGTGATGGAGTAATTAAAATTGTGGATGTGCAAAAAGCCACAATAGATAATGGCAGAGGGTTGCAGGGCTCAAGGAGATTAGAGATAGGAAAAAGTAACACCATGGACAGTTTAGAAAACAAATATGAGAATTTTAAAATTAAGGCACTGCTTACTTAGAAAGCAACAAAACAGTAATGGGTGGATGGAATTTGACTGGGATGGAGCTGGTGGCATTAGAAAGAAGTTTGTGGAAGGGCCGAAGCCTCCCAATATTAAGTTGGACAAAATTTCTTCTCATCCTGTGTTGGATGTCAGATAAGCAATCTGACAATTTAAAGGAAGTGGAGGAATCAAGGGAGGTGTTGGAGAAGTACAGTTGGACATTGTCAGAATACATGTGAAAACTAATTATGCTTTTAGGTGATGTCGCAGATTTGAAATCGGAAGGGGCCCAAGGATCAAACCTTCGTGGACAACAAAAGTTCACCACAGGAGTGGGAACAGGAGACAATGCAGGTGATCCTCTGGCTTCGACTAGATGGATAAGGACAGAGAATAGTGTTAATTCAGTTGGGCAATAATGGAGAGGGACTTGAGTAAGATAGTGTGGTCAATTGTGTCAAAAGCTATAGACAAGATGGGAAGGTCAAGGAGAGATAGTTATGTTTGTTACAGATAATGTTAAGACATTTACAAAGCCTCAAACTATTAATATGGTTTACAGCCATATTTTCCTTCAATGCTGATCAAGTACAATATTACCACAATGTAAAGCTAGCAGAGTGAATATAAACAGTTACAATAAGTTGCAGTAGGTAAACACGTCAATTAATTCAATTACATGCAAACACTCCAACAAACCACTATAGTAGTCTACTTCTCTCAGATTGATTAAAATACATTGCAATCACTCAAAGTAACTGCAGCAAAATTTCACTCAGCTAAAGCTGATCTTAATATAATTTTGACTTCCTATAAAGTTTACATTTGCCACTTTATGTGAGATACAGGATACCAAGAAAGAGAGGAAAAATAAACTATCAGTAAGTGTTGAAATCAGTTTGAACTAAGTTATTGCAACCAGATAAAAGCATCTCTTGACTGCCCTCGTAGCCAACCTGGAACCCTCAACAAGAACACCAGAGCACAAGGGCACTTGTTTCTGATATAGCTAATTATTCAACACAAAACAAAATCAGCACTGTGATTTAAGTAAAGAAAAACTGGAAATTAATTAACCAGTTCGAAGAAAGTATTTGGTCAGCCAGTTTTGGCAGTATGAACTTGTGTACTCTCAGATAGAGACCAGCAAAGAACAAAAAATTGTCAGTGACAGAAGAGTAGACAGAACAATGACAAACACATTGCAAAGCCATCCAATGACCAACAGCCATGCACTGGCTCTTTAAGAAGCTAGAGCTCCAAATAAATAATTGAATACCTAAAAAGCTGCCTCCTTTTTTGCAAACTAGAAGAACTGCCTTCTTTGGAGACTCTGTTGATTGTATTAGAAAGATAAATGTATTTCTAAAGGTTTGGGACATTCTTTGAATTAAAAGAAGCAACTACATGCACAAGCACTGCGCACACTGACACTGACCTGCTTTCCATTAGATAGCCATTGTATGAAGACTGAAAGAGAAAACAGAGTATTTTACAAATCTTAAGAATTAAATTGACCTAAAAACCTTAAGTTTTCCTTTATGGGTGAAAAACTCTCTACACACAGTATGAATCATGGCTCTTCATCACCCACAGACCATCACTCACATGGAGAGATGGTGATGTTGTAGCAATATCATTGGATTAGTAGTCCAGAGGCCCGGGCTAATGCATTGAGGACTTGGGTTCACGTCCCATTGTGGCAGCTGGTGGAATTTGAATTGAGTTTAAAAAAAACCTGGAACAGAAAATTAGTCTTAAGTAATAGTGACCATTAGACTATCATTGATTGATGTTAAAAACCCATCTGGTTCACTGCAGAGGAAACTTGTCATCCTTACTTAGTCTAGACTATATGTGTCTTCAGACCTGTGGCAATGGGGCTTACTCATACCTGCCCTCTGAAATGACCTAAATTCAAGAACAGTTAGTGATGGGCAACAAGTGGTGTTGCCAGTGACACCCACAACTTATCCATGATTTTTAAAATTATTCACATCAAACATTCTGCAGTTCTACAGCACGCCTTGACAATGAGCAAAGCTCTCCTGTTGTCCTTGGTCAATATTCTTCCCGCAATGAGTGCCACTAAAAGACTGAATTTATCACAGTTTTTCGACATGTGGAAAAAGCCTTCCATGTCTGCCTGTAATAACTGTATGACAAGATAATTAATTGGATATGAAGTACTTTGGGATACATCAGAAAAGTGAGATAAATTACCAAATATACAAGAGCTTTGCTGGATGTTTTTGGATCACCTGATTGATTCAAATTCAATTGACAAACAGGGAAAATATCTAATTTAAATTCTCATTATTGTAAATGAATGTGGCTTGTTAAAAATAGAGTTATATGGTTATCAAATTATCAAGATTCATTTTCATTACTTATTATTCTACAGCCTTTCAAAATAGAATAACCCATTGCACAAATAACTACTATGGGCTTACTTCTCGAGCAAATATTCGATCTCTGACTCGTTGATACTCCTCTTCTCTTTCTTCTATCGATTTGCTCCTTCGGTCATCTCGCAAAGGGACTCTCATCTGTAACAGGATCAAGTAGATAAGCTTATAAATGATCTTGTATGAAAGAATGCCTCCCAACATTCAGCTGTCAGTCCAGCAAGGTGAAGAACTGTCAAAGTATAATCTTCCTGAAAAATTAATAGTTGAAGGTAGTCTGCAAGCTGCGGCCATCAACCATGGGTAGTAAAACTTCCTTTACATGATGTAAATGCCTCAATTAAACGTAAAACACAAAAATGAAATAATGACATTGACTGCCAGTTCTGCACGCTGAGAATAATTGAGCGTGCGATTCCCAGCACTCTATTTGTAGCAAAGTCATAAATGATTCTAAAGAATTGCCAAATGATTTCTTCTAAAACTCAGTTTTAATGCTATGCACAGCGTCAAGACAGCTTGGCTGAAGTCACAATGACATCTGCTGTGATTGTGTCTTCAGTAAGTTACCCAGCTGCTATCCTCAATTTCTCTTCAGTATTCTAATATGGTCAATATACAGTTTTCCTCTATCAGTCCTTTTCCATTGTCTAGCTCTTCCAGTACTGTCTCGCATCATGCTACTAATATCTACAGCAGCAGTTTGTACTCTCCCCCCAAAATGCTTCAAGAACCTATCCTTTGTTCCCCCTTCTTCATCTATACGGTACCCCTCACTGACAACATCCACAAGGACAACATCAATCTCTAGATACACCCTGATAACACCCAGCTCAACAATTTCCCTTGACCCTTTGTGGAGAATCAAATTCCTTCTGTTATTTCACTTTCTCTAATCACCCCAATAAACTTTACTCCATCATTACTGACCATCTTTGACTCCGAGTGAGCTTCAAACCCCACATTTTACCCAACACCATGACAAAAACCACTTTTTTCCAAACCTCCTCAATATTCCCTGTCTCTACCATACTGCCCATGAAATTTTTATTTGCATCTTTGTCACCTATGGATTCAATTAATTTAATACTCTCCCTTCCAACTCCATCTCCAAAATTCCAGCTCAAAGTCAACAACGCAATAAATGCATTGCTAAAATGCATCTTACTTTGAGAGTGAGAAATTTTAAAACACGTGCTGCAAATGCTGTTCTAATGGCTGTTTGTAGTATGTAGTATGTAGTATGTAGTATGACGGCTAATGTTTCAATGGGACCTTTGTCAGATTCTTTGCATTCACAGCATATTCTGTATCAATTTCGGATATAATATTCTTCTTTGCAAAATAATAATGTTGAAATCTTCTTTAGGTACTGCTCAAGTGGATTCTTACAACAACTCTGTTGCATGAGATGGTAACTTGCAAATCTTTTCCACCCCATCTATTCCCTCCTGCACAAGTCCCTTTATACAGAAAGTAAGAATTCTCTGTAGCTATATCCGACACAAAAGAGAGAATGATGAAGCAAACAAACAAGACCGCCATCTCACAAGGATGGAAGCATTTTTTCTTACTTTTGCTTTACAGTAAATTATCTCCTCATGACACATGAACTCACCTGGTTGTCATCTTTGTCTAGGCTCGTGTCATCTCTTTTCAAGATAAATCTCTTTTGAAAATCCATACTCTTCTCATCTTTTATATGATCTGAAAACCTCTGCTCTGGTCTATGGTGGGGTAAAAGAAAAACCTTAAATTATAAACCATCAGCTTTCAGTTAAACACTGGGAAGATCAACCACAAATTCCCTACCCTTTTACTCATTCCATTCCCTTCCCTAACTATTGCCTCACGCTAAACCTGCTGGTTTGCCTTACTTGACCTCAAGTCGAGTTTCCAACCCCATATTAGTTACTGCAGGCTCAAGAGTCTGAATTACATACTCCTTATCCTAAATTTCATCACAACTGCTAACCTCCAGCTCCAAAGCCAGTCTCCACCTAAATTCAGTCCAACTGCTGCTGGTTACCTTGTCCATACCTTTATTATATTAAAATGCAATCATTTAAGAGCTCCCTTGTCCAGCCTCCCACCCATTACCCTCTGTAAACTTTATCCATTTCAAAATGATGTTAGCCAACTCCATTTCCACACCAATTTCCACACAGCCTCTAAAATCTCTCATTTAAATGTTTGCTCTTATGCTTAAATCTCTTCATGGGCTTCTGCAGCCTCCTCAAATCTTATAAGTTACTCAGCAATCCCCAGAGATTTCTGTTTCTCTAACTCAGGCCTTCTGTGCACACCGACACCCCCTTCTTCATTCCACCAACGGCAGGGGTGTGCACTCACCCGACTGAGACGCAAGTACTCGAATTCCTGCCCACGTTTCTCTACAACCCCTGTCCTCATTTTTTTCAAAGAGGATTTTTAAAATTCATCACTTTGGTCAAACTTGTAGCCACCTGTCCCCATAGCTCCTTTATTCAGTATCTATGTTTGTATGTGAGAAACAAGCTGCGATTCTAAAACAAGACCTGAGTGAAATATATCCCCATCAACACCAACTATTTTTAAAAAAAGTAAAAATTCACAGAATCTTCATTCAATAATGTCCCGGATGGGGGAGACAGGAGTAGTGCTGTCAATAAATTGGGGCAAACCTATCAGTGCATCACCTTTAAGTGGAAAGAATGTCTCCAATTGGAGAAGTCAAAACTAGAGGCCATATATACAGGATAGTGAACAATAAGTGCAATATGGAAATATATTATAATTTATTATTAAATTATAATTTATTTACTTCATGGTTAAAATTTGGGACTCATTACTACAGGAAGTGGTTGAGGCAAATTTGTCAGGGGCTTTCAAAAGGAAATAGACAAGTACAGAGGATTGGAGAAATTAGAATAACTGGCTCTTGCAGAAATCCAGCACAGACATGGTAGGCTCAATGGTTTTCTTCTGTGTTGTAACCATCTGATGATTCTATGATTAAGAGATGTCTATAACTGTGCAAGTCCACTAGCAGTAGCATTGAACTGCACAGGTTCCACTGACCAAAAACTTCATTCCATTGCCTATGGCTAGGTCCAAAGAGGGAACGGCATCCTCAATCCTATTATTTGAAACGAAGAGAAAAACTTGGAGGGAATCAATAAATACAACCAATAAAAACTTCGCTATACTGCTAAAGCATTCCCACATGAAACCTGGTGCAGTGGATAGAGCCTTGGTCTCTGTGATAGATCAGCACTACCCTATACAGACAAGTGGTTGGAGTACAGGTCCCAAACTTATAGTGAGTGGGTTCATACATACACGATAGCCAGTATAATACCTGAAGAAAGCATATTTTCCTTATTTTTCCCTGTAACAAGTCACCCACAGCTCCCTAATTTCCACAGATATTTTGTTCTTGCAAAATTGAGATTACCACATTTTTTTTATTCCAGAAATATACAGTTAAGTTTCAGACACAGATACATCTTGCCAATACCATTTCTGCTCTCATTAAAGGAGCTGCAATTCAATCATGGGGTGCAGTGAGGCTAAGAGAATAGAAAGAAACTAATTTCTCCTCATGCATTATAGTGCCCATTATTATTACATGGGGGGTCTCTATTTGTACAATGCAATCTCGTCATATTCATATAGTCACGCAGGAAAAAAAAATGGTGTTTTCAGTGCCAACAATCAACCACAATAAGACTTGTAAAAATGTGAACTGGGCAAGATTAGTGTATAGCATGTGCAACACTCCCAAATGTGTCAAAGTGGAAGAAAGGACTAGATCCAAATGTGGAATTAACAAATGAGCAATTTTAACCTGGCACAGAACACAGCTATTCCACCATTCTCCCACCATCCCAAAAATTAAGTAGAGTTAATCAAAAGAAAATCGCTATAACTAACAACTTTTGAAATGGACATGCAAATGGTTAATCAGTAGTTGGCCAGTAGAGTAACTGCCCATTATAAAAATGGATACCTTCATACTTTATGGTCAAATTACACTGGTGGGAATTTCACTGAGAAACGGCATGCAAGAATGGTCTCCAATGCTTTTTAGTTACAATATACTTACATTCTTGTATTTATCGTCTTATTAATTATAACAGCTTTTCCAGTTTGGTCAACATTGTGATCCATTCCAAAGTATGCAGCCACCCGGTGTAAGAGCATTCTGTGATAGGAGGTCATCTGAGGAAATTTCTTGTACTGATTACTGAAAATAACAAAGTTAAATAAAATGTCTTGCACACAAGCTGCAACTACAACTTTTTCATTTCAATGAAGCTGATTTTATAAAAGGGAGGGAATGAAACAAGAGAGTTTGACTCTATTTCTTGAATTTGAATGTTTAATCCAGGCTCATCGCTCCAGTGGAGAACAGAAGAGATGCTGCATTGTTGCAGGTATCATTCTGAACCCCATCCTTGTGTCAAGTGGATGTTAAAGATCTGATGGCACTACTAGAAGAGCAGGGAGTTCTTCCAATGTTCTAGACAACATTCCTTCCTCAGTAAACACTAAAACAGATGAACTGGTAATGTGCGCAGGTCCTTACTCTGCATAAATTAGCTGCCATGTCAGTGACTGCACTTCGGAAATAATTTTTTGGCTCAAAATAGCCTTGAAAAGTGATAAGGTGCATTATAAAATTGAGTTATTTTATTCCATTGGTCAGCGCATATGCTTACTTATTTACTAAGTCATACCTTCAACGCTAATTAAGAGAAAATAACATGTTAGACAATCCGATGTAAATATACTCTCAGAATTTCTACAGTGTGAAAACAGGCCCTTTGGCCCAACAAGTCCACACTGACCCTCACAGCACCCCACCCCCTACAACCTACACATCCCTGAACACTACAGGCAATTTAGTATAGCCAATCCACCTAGCCTGCACATCTTTGGACTGTGGGAGGAAACTGGAGCACCTGGAGGAAACCCATGCAGACACGGGGAAAACATGCAAACTCCACACAGACAGTCACCCGAGGGTGGAATCGAACCCAGGTCCCTGGCGCTGTGAGGCAGCAGGGCTAACCACTGAGCCACCGTGCTTTGCTCTGTTTATAGTTTTTAAATCTTTACACTAGCAATTTGTGGCATCTTCGTTTGCTCAAAATTCTGAAGCAGGAGAAAATCAGGCCTAACATAGGAAGCAATAGTTCACAAGAGCAAAGTGTCAAAATCCTCGATTGAAATAAATGACCGAATAAACTCAATTATGCACACACAATTTCTTGTCTTACAAGCCTAAATCTTATTGTGATTGGATCAGTGGCTGCTGGAGGACTGAATAAGATTTTTGAACCCATCTGAAGACCTTCTGGAACACTGTCAAGACTACAATACTCCAGCAATACTGATTTTATTTTGTAAATTTTCCGAGGTCTTCAAGTAAAAACACTAAATGCTGTGTTCTACCTTACTGGACACCTTATAAAGGGACACCAGGAGAAGGGAAGTGCTTGGTTATTAGCATCTTGCTAGGGATCACTCTGGGTCTGCAGAAGACAAGTGAGGACGACTTAGGGCCACACAGAGCAGCACCAGCAACTGCAGAGAAGGGAGACAGGAGGGTAGGTGGACTTTGCAACTCCCATGATTGCAGGGCACTCCTCATGTGGACATCCTGGATCTCCAGAGTCTAAGCCCTGGACGTTTGTGCTCAATCCCTTGCTCTCAGTGCCAAATTGAAATATGCCTGAAATAGCAGACTTGACCACTTACAGTGCAGCTGAGTGCATACAGTCTTCATATAGTGTTCCATGAAATTTGTGTCTAACCCGCACTCAATAGCTAGTTTAACATCATCAGGCATGTTTAAATTATGTCATCAGCAATTAGGGTTAAAGTCACATACTAAAGCCAGACTCTCAGAAGTTGCAACTTATTAATACAGGACCTATCCAGTACCCGTTTTAAGGGTTTTTGTGGCACAGTGGTCTTGTTTCCACCTCTGAGCCAGAAGTCCCAAGTTTCAGTTCCACCTGCTCCAGAGGTGTGTTATAATATGCCTGAATAGGTTGATTAAAAAGATCTCGAGTGCCTGTTTCCACCTTTTCATCAAAACAACCTCATTATTAGGGACCTGTTCAGATCTGCATATTTTCTAAGAAATTTTAGCTCTGAAAGCAAAAATGATTAAATTAACTTTATAAATGTTAATCATATGTAAAATATCCTCCAATATGCAACACAATTTGACTAAAACTTGCTTTCATTGGCACACAGGTTGTCACACAGACAGCAATAATTTACTTACTTATTATCACCGATAAAGTCCAGAATTTCTTGTTCTAATTTTAGCAGCATCATCCTGTCCCTGGAAGATACAATCATGGGTTTACACAGAATAATATATATAATGCAAGTAAAATTGAGAAATACATGTACAAAGTCAGTAGTATGATTTCCTAGTGTTACTGCCATAGAGACAGTTAACCTTTGAAAATAATTGAACTTTCAGTTGATAGTTGAAAGGTTGACACAACAAGGTTTTATGTTTTAAGACTTTTACTGAAACAAACAGGCTAACCACACAACTGACTAAACATCGTTGCTGTAATCAACTTGTAATTTAAAGTACAGAAACAGAAACTTCCCCTTTAACTTTTAACACA